TGTGGATATTAATGTACAATACATGTGACAATAACAAATAAAAGTAAAAAGAAAAAGCAAAGAAAAAGGGACAAGGACCATAGATTCAGAGCTGCTCACCCACTGACATTCTTATATAGATTCCTACTTAATATGCACCATCTTTCCTTATCACCTTACATGTCTAATGATATATATATATATATAAATATAGGCTTAGTTACATTAAACACAAATGCTGCTTTTACCCGTATGAGAATTATATAGAATTATATTTTATATTTTTCCCCAGCCTGGAATGATCGTTCCTGGTAAACCCTGTGAAACGTGCATCTGTAGTTCTGTTAAAAACCCTGTTACCCAGGGAAATATTGTGGAATGTAAGCCAGTTACCTGCAATACAGATTGTCCCATGGTAAGAACAAGTCTTTCCTGCCTAAATGTAGCTTAACTGGAGTTTTACAGGAGGCTATCTCTCCATCAGTATTAATTCCTACTGTCTGTTAACAGGGTCACGAGTACCAAATAAAACCCGGTGAATGTTGTGGAAACTGCATCCCAGTGGCTTGCATCGTCGCCATTAATGGCATTGCTGAGATACTAAAGGTAGTATCTTCTCATTCGTATTGTGCACAAGTGAAATAATAGGGTATTCATGCACTTTTGCTCACCAATCTGAACTCCTTTTCAAACTGTAACACTGCATTTTAATGCCTACTTTCCTCATAGCACTGGCAGATGAGAACTGAAGTATCCAAATACTGTAAGCTGTTAAAATGTGAATAGGACTCAGCATGCTTCCCTCCTAATATATTGAACTATATTTCATCATCTCCAATCTACAAGACGGGTAGCAACCGTAAGATAGGAAAACTGGACTAAACTGAAAACAAGTAGTCCCTGATATATGACCACAATTGGAACAGGAACTTCCATTACTAAGTGATATAGTCATTAGGCAAAACATCATGTGATTGTACCATTTAGCAAGAACAGTTCCAAAAGCCCAGGTTGCAATCATCAGGAGAAGACAGTGCTATTGATAGACAAGGACTTCACATTTCTCCTGCTCTGCGGTGCTTGCCTTCACTTCTACCTTATCTTCTCTCCCATTTCTGCCCTTTTGGGAACCCTGCGCCACATACCCCTGCTGCTCCCCAGTGCCCCAGCCCACTGCTGACCTTTGCTGTCTTTTTATGTCCTGCTGGTGGCCCTGAATCCAAGTGCTGGACAAGGGTTCAGTTCTGAGATGCATGCAGTGAGAGCAGGGGCCCTTCATCTCCCAGGCACAGTCAGGGAGGAGGCAGCAGGATGCAAGGCAAAGAGCCAGGGGTGGCCTCCTGAGAGAAAGGACTATGTGGGAGATGTCGTTTGGAGTGGTGGCAGAAGAAAGAAGGAGAAAGATAGTGGAGAAAGATGTGGGAGGTACTCTGCAGTCCATGTTGCACTGGTAGAAAACCAGCCTAAAAGCATCTAGGCACTGCCACATGTGCTGCCAGTGGTAGGATATCTTGAACAGCACCCGAGGCCATGCTGGATGGGAAATTCTAGAAGTTGAAGTCCATACTGTACATCTTAAAAGTTCCTGAGGTTGAGAAACGCTGATCCAGACATATTAAGAACTTTGGCTTATAATTTTCTATTATAAAATTTACAATTAAAATAACAGTCCTCTCTCTTACTCTCTCTTTCTCCTAATTTACAAAAAACAGCCTGGGCAGACAAAACCGGGTAACTGTAATCAGTACAAATGTGAACCAATGAACAATACGCTAGTTCTGGTTGAGACTAGAGAAACGTGCCCTAACTTTGATCCAGACTGCAGTCCTGTAAGTTTTCTATCACTTTTTATTTATTCTTTTTTCATTTATGGTCTACATTTCTTGAATATAATGAATATGTTTTTTTTTATAAAAATCATACCAAAAATCCATATCAAACAGTCAGGATAAACATCCATTGTTCAAGATTGAGATTAACGTTATTGATTATTCTTTCTTATTCATAAACATTGAATAACTAACAGTTGCCTCCTATACAATAAAGTTGTGGATCAATTTATTTGTTCAGCAAGAAGAAATGGTGGTGACTAAAGTTAGGAGCATGTCTCATCCCTCATCATCTGGCTCACAATACATTCAGAATGAAAATATTCATATATTCAGCATGCAATTTTTTTAAAAAAAACTTGTAAGTATAATTGGATGAGCAGGGTTATCAGGCTTTCCACATTTAGAAACTCAGAGGTAACAACTTGTGTTTCTTTAAGTCCCAATCTTATCCACATTATAATCTGGATTAATTTCTGGTATCCCTATTTTCTGGCAGAAGAATAGAGATCACACACTTGGATGAATTGAATTGAAACTAGCTGAGTTTTTCTCATTTTTATCACTCGTGAACTATGGTGTTCTTTAGGTTTTTTTTTTCTCCCAGAATGTGGTGTTCTTCAATGAAAAATCATAAAATGCTTCTGTTAGTAAAAGTGTATCTATTCACTAAAATCATTGTTCTTTTACAGAGATAAAGAAATAATGCATTTTCCCATAAGCAGTAACATATTAATAAACAATAACTCATAATTCATAACTTTCTGGTTTTAATTCTACTCTTTGGAAACATTGAATAATGGTAGATTGAAGCATTTTGTTATGTAGGTATTGAAGTTTGAAGGCAATTAACACCTCATACTAGAAATATCTAATTTTACTGTACATCAAGATGTGATATTGATTAAAATAATAACACAAACTTTCTTTGTTGTCAAAGGATCAAACTGAATTGACTCACAATGGCTGCTGCAAGATATGCAAAGAGAGTAAGTAAACAAAAATTTAAAAATCCATAATTCCTAAGGTCTTTATTAAGTACATTTGATAAGTATTACCTCTACCTCCTCATTTAAATTTATGAATCAAAATGTTGAAGAGGGCAGGCCAAGAACTGAATCTTCTGCTACATCATTAGAGTTAAATTGTCTCCTGAGATTCCTAAAAATAATTTCTCCCATTTCTTTTTGCTTATATCTTAACATGTAATGAACCATCAGGTCAGCAAAACCTAGTCTGTTTTATGATGCACATCTTGCACACTTCTCTTAAGTAATACTCCAGTGTTATCAATTCTTGAATTGCTGAGAATGAAAAATGAAGGCTTTGTGAGCTTGTGTAACATTCATCATTAGTAATAGTGGGTTGAGCAAATGGCAATATCTGGCATACCTTGTCTGGACTAAAAAGCTAAGTGGGAAAATAGATGATTAACATGTGAATGGGCAGCCACTAGGGAATTCCAAAGTTGTAGGAGAGATTGAGAAGATAAAAAAATAATTTAGAAGGAAACAAATGGTAGATTATTTCATTAATCAGCAACCACAACAGTGAATGTGAAGACTAAGTGAAAAGTACAATATTTCCTTTTTACCTTTCATTTTCTAGCACTAAACTGCAAACCATACAAGAATCAAACTCTAATCCGTGAAAATGACTGTGTATCTCCTGAAACTGTTGAATTGACTTACTGTGAAGGAATGTGTCCAAGCTCTTCAGTGTAAGTAACAAGGAGGCCTATCCTACTCTTACCTATTCATTCCTCTACTGGATAGTGTAATATCCATAAAATATCAGTTTCATGGAGACAAGAGCCCCTTTCAATTTACCAGTTGATTATGTTGAATTGTTTTGATGATTGGGTGGCCATGTGCATTTTTAATCATTCTGACCAACTATTTGTTGGAGTTTTTAAACTCTACAGTAACCCCCAAGACTGATTTGAGATGGATAATGTAAAAATGCATGTAATAAATTATATTTTACCAAAACATATCTAACTTTTTTTTTCTCCACCTGGACAGATATTCCCAAAACAAAAAGGCATTTCAGTATAATTGCAATTGCTGCCAAGAGTTCAAGAGCCATAAAAAAGAAGTAACCTTGACATGTCTGAATGGCACAACCATCGTTTATGACTATTTATATGTGGATGAGTGTAAGTGCAAAACTGGATGCAACTTCGAAGTCCCAAGCAGCTAAAAGAAGGAGAAAAAATATTATTTTTCTTAGTCCAAAATAAATCCAACAATCACTCGTCAGAAATCAGTCATCATTCAGTGCTACTTTGGATCTCTGCTTGTGTCCTTGAACCAAATATTTTTTTGTTGGCCAGTTGCTTAATCAAATTAATGTCCTTTTTCATGTAAAAAAATTGCATTCATTCTGGCAAACTCTTTTCAAAATAAGAGCATTCTCATTGGAAAGTTATTCTCTTTGGAAAATCTTCCAAGTATTCCTAACATAATGATAGAAATGTATAACATTATAATGTAGAAAATTAAATTCTTATATGTCCATGCTTATCTTGCTTTTCTGATTTTTTTTTCTGGGAGGAGGGCAGGGGTTACAAGTCTTTAAACAACATAACACAATCTGCAGGAATAAATATCTGTATAGCACTAATGCACATACTAAACTTGCTTTCCCATTTAATTCTGCTTTTTTGAGATTAATAAACAATACTTAAACAAGTTCAGCTGGTATAACTGTTGTTTTCATTCATCCAACTACTGACATCCATTAAAGTCAAACTATCACATTATGATAATTTACTGTTTAATTATGAAAAAAGAGTAGGACAGCCCTTTGCAACTAGTAACCTTTAGAAGGAATTACATAATTTATTTAATTTATTTATTTTATTATTTATAATTTATGTAATTATGAACAATAACTTGCAAAATAAAAACATAGTACAAACAATCCAATGTAACATGAACAGTGTAATAGTCATATAAAATGTAAAAATTAAGATTTAAAAAAGTGACAAAGAAAAAAATTAAATATAATACAATCAGATAAATAGGAATACAATCACATAAAAATGCAATAATATCAAAGAGTAAAGAAAGATTTCTTAATGTCATCATGATAAAATAGGGAAATGTTATGCCTTTGTATGAAAATCACTGCAAATAGAAATGGTGGGTGATGGTAGTGTTTTAGGTTCATTCTCATGACAAACACAGTCAAAGGGGGTCATATAGTACCATACAATATTTGTAGCTCGGGACTATGGGGTCTTTGGTGTTCTCTGAGCTATGGAAAACCAAGGACAGCACTTTATACATAAATACCACTCAACAGTGCTTTACAGCATTCTCTGAGTGGTTTACAAATGTCAGCACGTTGCCCCCAACAATCTGCGTCCTCATTCTACCAACCTCAGAAGAATGGAAGGCCGAGTCAACCTTGAGCCCACCAGGATCTAACTCCTGGCACTGGGCAGGGTTAGCCTGCCATACTGCATTTTAACCACTGTACCACAGCACAGGGAAAACTAGTATCACCAAGAATGAGGCACTAAACTGAGACAAAGAAAGAAGATTAAATACTTTGCATATACAGATAGTCCTTGGCTTATGACCACAGTTCAACCCAAAATTTAGGATACTAAGTGAGACATCTGTTAAGTGAGTTTTTCCTCATATTACGACCTTGCTTGCCACAGTTGTTAAGTAAATCATTGCAATTGTTAAGTTAGTAACACAGTTGTTAAGTGAATCTGGCTTCCCCATTGGCTTTGCTTGTCAAAAGGGGAAATCACATGGCCCCAGGATACTGCAACTGTAATAAATATGAGTCAGTTGCTATGCGTCTGAATTTTGATCACATGATCATGGGAAGGATGCAATGATCGTAAGGCTGAAAAAAGGTCATAAGTCATTTTTTCAGTGCCATTGTACCTTTGAACAGTAACTAAATTAACTGTTTTAAGTTGAGGATTACCTGTATAGACGTTTTCCAGGTTGCGACTACCACTGAAGGATGGCTCTTAGCATCCAAATTCAACTACTATGTAGTGTCAAAGATTATTTGATGGATTTCAGCTTTATTTCTCTTTAAATCTAGGGGTAGCAGAGAGTAGATCGAAAGCAATAGCAAAATCACCAGTGATGGGTTCCTACCAGTTCAGCTGCTTTGGCCAAACTGGTAGTGGTTTGGCGGCCTGGGTCACTGGAACCGGAGCAAACCAGGCCTGCCATGCCCCCAAATCAGTTCCTTGCTTGGCGCCATTGGCGACACCATCTTGTTTTTCAGTTCTGTGCAGGCGCAGAACAATTTTAATTGCACAGTGCATGCATGCACGAAAAGCATGCATACTATCGAACTAGCATTAGTGCCGGCCGGAACCCACTCCTGAATAGCACTTAAGACTTATATACTGCTTCACAGTGCTCTCTAAGCAGTTTACAGAGTCAGCATATTTCCCCCAACAATTTGGGTCCTCATTTTACCCACCTCGGAAGGATGGAAGGCTGAGTCAACCTTGAGCCTAGTGAGATTTGAATTGCCAAATTGCAGTCAGCCAGCAGCAGTGGTGGGTTGCAGACGGTACGCCCCGGTATGGGTGTACTTGAGCCTGCCCAGAGCACCAGATACCATTCCAGTAGTGCTCCAAAGGGCCACCCATCCACCCACGCTTCTTACCTGTCTTTAAACTCTTCGGCGCTTCTGTACATGTGCATGGCACATACAGCACCTGCGCATTGCTCCACCGAGCAGTTGGAGCACCACGGAGGCTCACGGAGGTGTTGCTGGATGGTAAGAAGCATGCACACGCACCACGAGTGTTCATGTGGAGGACGCCGGGCTCCATTGCAACCGTACTGGTTGCAATGGGATCCAGAACCCACCACTGGTTGGCAATCAGGAGAAGTAGCCTGCAGTACTTCACTCTAACTACTGCACCACCACAACTCTTGGAAAGGCCACAATAATCACTGAATTGAATAAATAAACATCTAAGATTTTTTTTCTCTTTCCACTTTGATTAAAAGCAATGAAAAACCATTAATGAGATCAGGGGAACTTTGGAAAACAGGAATTTAAGCCAACAAGATAATTGGCTGATATGAACTTTTTCTCCCAGTGGAATAATGTCCGTTTTCATTAAAGCATATGAAACACAGGTGAATGCAGAAGAGCACATGCAACAATCGATCTTGAGCAGTTTCAGGGATTTTGAATCATTGTAGCCACATAATTCTGCTGATACAGCATTTGGGGTATAGATATGGCAAATTAAATCTGTTTAAAAAGCTTGATGGTGGCAGGTAGGCATCTGCTCCTTTAGAATGAAAACAAAACAAACAGGTTTGCCTTGATACTATTATTAGCTTTGGCAGAAATACAATTGTTCGTGCCAAGCTCCAGAGATCTGGAAAATTATGCCAAAGCTGGAGCTTCTTCAAATTTTGATGTCACCCAATTTGCCTTTGATGTTTGTGATAAGAAGAAACCCAAGAAAACCACAATGTTGATCTTAGAGTGATTGATTGTAAGCCCTCACTTCTTATACAGTTCTGCTAAATCCAGACATCTTCTCTCAAAGCCCACTGAAAAAGTGACTGCATCAGCAGCAAACAGCAGTGCTGGCAGATGCCCATCACTGAGTTTAATGGATGGGGCCCCTTTTTGGTTAAAGTAAATAACAGTGAATTCACAGACCTATTAAACAATAGGAAATATAGAAAAGAATTCAATTTTATTGCTTGATGGGTTAGAAGCAAAGTAACTATGCCTTCACACACTCCAAGGATTACACCAAACCTTAATATTCCTGACAAACTGTTTGGAAATCCACAGAGATTCTTTTTTGTCCCCTAAAACCTAAAGACTTTCCCTTCCATCTAATGCTCTTTTATTCTCTAAAGCTTACATTGAACATATTGTTGCTGCTGTGTGTTTATCTTGTTAAAGGTAGTGACATCTATTTTATTAGAACTTACTATATGGCCAGTGTCATCTGTCTCTTTCCAGTGGGGCTATATGTAATAGATTTGGTTGTATTTTCAAGCAAATCTTGTAATTGCTATCCAGTTTTGACCAAATGTTAAGGTCATATGTTCAGTTCATAATAGACGAAGCAGTGAACAAAGCTTTGGATTATTAAACTGAATGTCCAAGTTGATAAATGTTGTTTTCCAAACTGCTGCTCAAATCAAACCTGGTGATTGGCACACACTTCTTCCTGTAAACGTTCTGAAACAGCCACAAACAAAATTGAAATCACCCATTATCCAATGTGTATGGGAACAAATTCTCCTCTGTCCCCCGCAATCCCTTTCACAAGATTACAAAATGCCCATGATTTTGTAAAGGCCATAGCAACAAAAGATGCTGTGTTCTGAATCCATGCTGAAAGGATTTTTTTCATAAAAATACAGGCACAATGCAACATGGCAAACCAGATGTTTGCTCACAACTCATTCGTTATACTGCATTAATTAAGCTCCCCTGATTTTCCAGCTGGTCTAATGATTGTGTCTGGTGAGAGGTGGTCACAGCATTGCAAGGCTTCAATTTAAGAGTTCTTCCATCTTGAACTGAGCTAGTCAGTTATTTTGTTCCTTCAACAGTTAGGTTTGCTTGCTGAGCTAACTGATAAATTTGTATGGTTCTTCCTTGCCTCAAAAAGCCATCAAAAAGATGTAGAAAATGTATTTGAGAGTACCCATATTCAGAGAAACTTTTAAAAAATGATGTACCAGTTTAAAGAAAGGCTCTCGGTGTTAAAGAGGAGCTGTATAAAAGAAAAAAATATATATAAGGGTAGTTTGGAGGGAAGGACCCAAATGTAATACTAAAGTTTAAAGCCTGAATGATAAATGTCAAAGAAAAAGATATATTAGAAAGTTTTGATTTTTTAAAAAATAATTTTTTTTTAATTTAGTATTCTGAAGGGAAAAAAGGGTAAAGGAAAGGGTTTCCCCCCTTTTTTCAGTAAGTTCAAAGAATACAATAAATTTTGTAAATAAAATTGTAAATAAAAAAAGTTCACAAAGATTACTAAATGTAAATACACATTGTTTCCATAGCAAGGAAGATAAAGCAGGAATTGTAAAATTGTTTATTTTATTCAAAGAGGAAAATATGCTCTTATTTAGATATCACTTCTAGAATTTGTGTTTGTGGGGAAAAGATGAATCTTTGACCTTGGTTTTGTTGATTAAAAAGATTTGGTGTAATAGGAATGGCTAATCACTATATATATATATATGTGTGTGTGTGTGTGTGTGTGTGTAAAAGCAAACCTGGGTACTTGAGAGACTGCCTCCTGCCAATTAACCTCCCATAGACCCATTAGATCCCACAGATTAGGCCTCCTCTGAATTCCATCTGCCGGCCAATGCCGGCTGTCGACCACCCGGAGGAGGGCCTTCTCTGTGGCTGCTCCGGCCCTTTGGAACG